GTCTGGAAAACTAAAGATGCTGTATAGTAAGGTCATGAATAAATTGTTTGAGTCTAGGGTGGAGGAGAAGACCAGTAGAAGTACAAAGTTTCCTACTGCTGCAGATACGCTTATGAAGAGCACATTAATTTCCACTGGAACACCATTAGGGAAATGAGTTTGTTCTGACAGTTTGTGTTGCTGGATACCATATGTTTACCTTGAGGGAATGTTTGTGGAGAACCACTTCGGGTTAATTGTAAATGTCACAATTAAATAAGTAAATATACAGAACTGTATCTGTGATCTGCATCAGTGCACAGACACTGTGTACCAGCACACTGGTGTGCCACGTCATGTGTGTACATCTAAATATATACTTTTATGTACTAAATCCATACCAATCAGCTTATCTGGACACACAGACATCAGGTACAAACAGAACCTGCATTTTGTCTTTCTGATTTGTTTATCATTACATACGTATGGCACTGCACCATGGCTACCTTTCTATTTAATGCCTGCACTGTGAGCTCAGAACCGAGCATTGGGCTTCCCTGTTGCTGGCGACAGGTGTTGCACCTCTAATTCATCTGGCATAAAAAAGGCGAGGAGGGGGAGAGCGGGAAAATCAGATAGCGTGTTAAAAATCTCAGATTAGTTGGAGTCACATTACAGATTAGCAAAGGTTCAAATATGTTGCCTTTCAGTGTTGTCAGTCCCCCTTAATAATCTGCACAGGAGTTGAGGATTTTCAGCACCTTGACAGATTAAACCTTAAGAACACTCAAACAAACCTGTCACATAGGTCTTATCATGCAAACTTGAGGCCAAGTTCAATAACAGCCCTGTTATTCTTCTGCATTGCAGAGGCCTTGAAAAATTGATTTTTCTGTTTTGCCACTGACTTAGTGGAACCAGGCTTTAGCCCTCCGAGGCATAGCCATTCCTGTAGATGGTAGGTACTTCTGAAATTCTTAATTTCATGTCTTTAAATAGTCAAACTTTGAGACAGACCAGGTATGGGTACAGACTTTGCTGGGTGTTGTTGACCATTGCTGGGTTATTAACTCCCCTTATGGTCTGGGATACCCTTTATTTCCTTTGAAAATGCATTTCATGGATTTAAAGGCCTGATCCAAAATGTACAGGAATAAATACAAATCTTTGTACTGAACACCAGAAAAGAATTTTAAAGGGAGTTGGTCATTGTTTACAGCAGGAATGTAATTTTAACAGAAACAAGAAATCTGATCTGTTTGTTAGGTCAACATTAATCCAGGGAAACCACTTTCTGAAGCATCCAGGGCTTGTTAACACAGGTAACACCTAAGGCAGCAGTGTGTCTTTAAGCTCTAATATTGTACAATAATAATTTTTGTGGAAGAAAATCTTCCCCTCTCCCTGAACAGAAACAAGACATATTATTGACTGCCATCCGGAAAGATGTATGCTCTGGCCGTCGTGAGTCTATTAATATTTGATGCTGATGGATGTGAGCTGGCAGCCTGAGTTATTAATGGAGTTTGGTTCCTTGGACCTAACCCTCCATATGTAGGGGAGAATTAACCGTAACAAGAACTGTATGCCCAAACCTCTGGTGGTGCTAGAAAAGTCTGTCATTTAGTTTCAGCAACAATTAGTTAGTATTTCTGAAGCACTTCAAGGTATAGGAGGTCACATAGGTGGTGTTAGTTACATTATTGCCACCATTCATTTTGATTTAAAGCTGACTTTTTAGGGTCCCGGGGATCACAGATTCCCCCACCTATATCTTTGGTATGTTGGAATAATCCCGTCAGATTTGGATTTCAAACAAAAAAAGGCTCACTTGTGTTAGCTTCTGAGCAGCTGTGTGGAGATGTGGGACACCCTGTCCTAGGTTGTACTGAGGTGCCATCTTGCAGATTGGGGCCTGGGAAGGTGAGATGCAAAGCAGAGGGCTGCTTCACACACTGAGCGGGGCAGTTAGCGGAGCTCGCCCTGATCCCACATCCCGTAAAAAGAGTTTTTCCATTGATTATGTCAGAGTCAGGTTTGACCCCAGAAATTAGGAAATAATACATTGGATAGATTTCAGGGGTATATTTTGATAAACTGGGCCATCTAAGTGAAAATGATGAATAAAATGAAGCACTTTTGAAATTTTGTGATGTCCATATGGATCATTCTGCCTTGGAAAATAGAGATGTAAAATACCAAGTTATTTATAGCTAGATTTCTTAATATAGCTTTAACATTTTCGGGGGTATACGTTTGATTGAATTAACTACTCCTTCCTATCACGTATACCACATCCAGGCATTTCACTACTCTCATTAACCTCCTGCTCTTAATAGAAAAAAGAATAATCAACATAAGGAGCACAGCTGTTGATTAATTTTGCTAAATAGGATAGAAATATAAAGTACCATATTGCAAGAGTGAAGATCCAATACACAACATTTGAAACCCATTTAATAGAATATATAACTCATTAACAACTGGATAGACGTATACTGTGGCATTATTCACTTGGGCAGGTGGTGAGAGGGAGGTGGAATTTACATATCTTTAACACTACCTGAATGCATTTAATTTCATAGGTCATTCTCCCAAATCAAGTTCAAAATGTTAATAACGGGGTGTGCATTTATAATTAATAAAATCTTAGAGCCAGTGCTATAGTTCAAGTGCATTTTCCTCTTATGTAATTAAGAAGTTAAGTGTATTTGGCAGTTGTCACTCAGAGAGCTCTGAAGGTCTTGCTTGTCAAACCTGGGGATAGAAATCTCATTAAGCCAGTTATTTTTTCAGTTAAGGTTTGTTTGCAAAGTAAGCGCGTATAAGGTGGACAGCCAGAATGACCAACCTCTGTTAGTCCATAAAGTATAGTACATTAAAGTAAATGCCAAAACTCAAAGGCTTGTTAATAAAGATGAAACAGCCTGATGTTTAGCTTGTATACAGTACCTTTTCTCTGGGATATCCAAAGTGTCTGTGTCCGACTGCCTTCCTAGAGGAAGTCTACAGAAAACTGGTGAATCCGCACCAGCCTATTGTGGACATGGCCAGGGAGAACTCACCGCATAACACGAGCTGATCTGCGGTCACAGAGAGTCAGCTGAGGAGCTGGAAATCCACCTTCTGCTTCCACCCATGGCCCAGATGCTGTTTTAGTTAATCTGGTTCCCAAGGGGATATTTTAGCTCTGCATGACTCTGTTCTACTTTCCTTTCCTTTTCAAAGGAATTTTCTTTCACTTCTAGATCACTAGTTCAAATCCAGATAAGGTCAGTTGTTATAGAAATTATTAGCAGTACCAGTGGTTCTGCATTGTACATGAAATGAGTTGGGAGTTTCATTCACACAAGATACGGCTTTCTAAGTGGCACTAATTGGCTGTCTAATTGTCACACACAGGAGAAAGGCAGAGGATTGATTAGGTGTGGAGACTGAATGCCCCTCTGCCATCCTGCTCAGCTCTGGGTTTCTGTAGCTCATTCTGTAGGCATGCTGGCAGGGTAATGAGGGGCAGCATGCTTTGGATTTTCTGGCTGTCAAAACAGCACCTTTTACTGCCAGGCCTTTTCAGGGGAACTTGTTTTACTCCACCAAGGTCAAAGATAGCATCTTTTACAAACACTGCTTTCGCTCAAAAATCAGAGACTTATAGGATTTACTTCGGAGCAGTACATCTTTTAACCGTTTCTTTTACTTGCCTCTAAAACAAAGTTTTTAGTATAAAATAGGATGAGTCATACTGGTGCTAGGCAGAACTGCTACAGCAAGCATATGGGGGTTTATGGTGCTCAGAAATCTGTTCATATTTCCTTTTACTGTCTCAGTGTCTGATGCTGTGATGTACAGGCTCCTGGAGGTACTTGCCATAGCATAGGGAAGCTGACATTTTGTGCATTTATCTCCTGATAAATAGATCCTCCTATCACACAGTGAAGCCTCTCACCTGCAAAAGTACATTTTGACCAATATCTTTTCCCCTGAGCTATGGTATAGGTCACACTGTGCAATGTGGTTACTATTTAACTTTGGAGTAGGATAGCTTTCTCTGACAGAACTAAATTATTGAAGTTTGACTTACTGAAGAAGTAAATTTAGGAGCTAATTCATGATGTGAAAGTCAGGACTACACATAGAAGGAAAAGGAGAAAAAATATCTTCTATATGCTAACATATGTAGACTCAACTATGGGACTCACTAAGTAGGTTTAAAGGAATTGTGCTCACATTTTAACTCCCTTGTTGTATCAGATGGACAATATCAGTAAGAACTGTGTCTCTCCTTTCAGCCACACAAGCTAATCAGTGCATACAGCGTACTGTAATTTACTGTTGAAATAAGCTATATTTCTGTAACATCTAAGTATTTACTCTCCTTTCCCTCACTTCCCCCACACCTAAAGCAGAAATAGGACAGAGACCGTCTGTTTCTGTGTTCTGCTCTGTGTGCCTCCTCTCTCTGACATACACATCGCTCCTTGTTCAGCGTTCTTCCTAAAGTCACAATCTCATGCAAATTAATTGAAAACAAATGCAGGTACCAGCTACGCATCAAAAAGGTCTAATGCACCTGCCATGTAGTTTTCCTCTCTGCCAGTCTGTGGAAGACGAGCATGTACAAGAACCTTTGGCTTTTTAACAACCCTATTCTTAGAATATGTTTTCCAAGAACTGCAAAGCAATCATTGCACAGTTTCAGACTGTATATTTTGTGATTAGTGTTTGGTAAGTGATGTTTTGCTTAATGATCTAACATCTGTTCTAGGAGGTTTGCTTTTGTAACTTCCCCACCTCCTGCTGAATGAATGCCAGAAACTTGTCCCTTTCCTCCAAGTCAATCAAAGCCCTAATTGCATCATAAACATGGGAAGCGGTGGTGACTGCTCAAGTGCTGAAGACTCAGCAATCAACTCATAACACTCCGTTCACTGTTTTGAAGGAGAAAGCCTCCCTGTGCAGAGATGGGAATTTCCTGCAATTCAGATTTCTTTAGCTGACTGTGACTTTTTTTTGGTTTGCAGGGAGATGACTGCACCATTACCTGCATGGCAGGAACCTACGGAACGAATTGTTCATCAGTTTGTAATTGCAAAAATGATGGTGCATGTTCCCCTGTGGACGGTCTGTGCTATTGCAAAGAAGGTAAACAAAATTCAGATTTAACAATTGTCTGCAATTTGGCATCAGTGTTTCTCCCCTTTTAAAGTGGCACAGCTGTGCAGTCAGTAACTCCACTATTTTCTTGTGCCTGTCAGTAATTCAACAGTCTGCCCAAGTATCAAAACTCAGCAGGGGCCTGACTGTATGTTTTGTCTCTGCCCTGAACAGGGGCCAGACTTAACTGCTCTGTTGCAAGAACAGGTCACAGAACTAAGTGTGTTGGCAGAACCACAGCTCCTTTCCAGAGGAAATGCAAAGCAATCCCCAGGCTGTTGGGGTTTTTTTCTCTATCACTTTGCTGCCCCATTTCTCCAGGACTCAAAAGCCCCTGTTGTCCCCTCCATGCCTAGAGTGACACAACTGGGCAAGGGAGCAGAGGCAGCCTCCTGCCTGTCTTTTCTTTAGCCCATTTCACTGGGCAGTGCCCAGCCATGCTTATCCTTACTAGAACTGACCCTGAGCTGCAGACTGCTGCCTGTCTTGACCTTAGAGTGGTCTCATTCCCTTAGGCTTTCCTGGTGCTCTGGGCTCCTAGCCGATCCTGGCTGCCAACCCTGTGCTTAGGGACTGTGGGGTGGGCCCTGGCTGTCTGCCCTTGCTGCCGTCCTCAGCTCCCCATCCTCCCTGTACCCTGGCACTGTGACACCCCAGCCACGTGCAGCTATCTATCCTCTGTCTCCTTAGCTGGCACGAGGTTGCAGGCTATGGCTGTCTTTCATCTAGGGAAAAAAGAAGTCTTGCCTGCTCAGGAGTGTCTCTGCAAGACTAACCTCTTTTCTTCCCACACATAGGTCCGTAATTCCCTTATATGCTTGGTAGTGAGCATAACCCATGTATCCAGTAATCACTTGAGAAATCTTGTACTGCTCCATAGCAGTGTCTCTTATGTTCCCTGTGCAGCAGTGCCTTCCCCCAGAATACCAACGTGAGCTATGCCTGTATGGCATACATAAGCCCTAAAACAGAAGTGAGGCAAATAACGATAAAATCTGGCATTTCAAACATGAATTAATGGATCACTGTAGAACCCCATTTAATGAGGGTGTATAAACCATGAGTTACTGCTCAACTCCATTACATACAGCTGCAGTGTAATGAAAGCCATTGTGCAGCTGGTAGTTAAGATTTGAGCCTTAATGGTTAGAAATGATGGCCTTGGTCCCTTTTTAGGTGTAATAGCTTCTTTATATTAAAGAGCATTCTCAAAAAAAATATGAGGTAAGAAACAGGCAGCATCGAATGGCAAGTTTCTTGCATTCTCGCTGATCAGCAGGTCTCCAGCCTGCCAGACAGGACTGCACTCTCTCTTGCTGCCCAAGCAAATTCCCAGAGAGGCATCAGGCACCTTAATCTGGTAAACAGCCAACACAGTAATACTTGTGTTGCCTTTCTGTATGTTTAGCTGCTGGTAAATGAAGTTGGGAGGTCATAATTAAAGGGTCAGTCTTTGACCCCAAGATAGTTTTGATTTACACCAAGATCAGGAGAAAACTGGTCCTAGAATCAAAAAGCTGCAGTTTGCAAGCTGCCTTTCTTGCTGCCTTTACCTTGTTTTTTTTCCTGAAAACATCCCAAATGCTATTTCTCTCATATGTTTCTTTAGGGTGGCAGGGAGTGGATTGCTCTATTCCATGCTCAAGTGGGAGTTGGGGTCTTAACTGTAACCAGACATGTTATTGCACAAACGGAGCAGCCTGCAGGCCGGCTGATGGCTTTTGCCTCTGCTCACCTGGATGGCAAGGGGAGTACTGTGACCAGCCATGTCCTGTAAGTACAACTGGGATGGTCTTGCATCCCCTTTAAAACCATAGTCCACATAGCTCTTCTAAATGTACGGTAGGTCAGTATCTCATTTTGTCTGTGGATATCTGAAGGAAATCATGTGTAAATAACAGATTGGCGTTCTAGCAGTCAAGTAGATGTATTATTCTTTGCATTATATTTTATCAGAGCTATTGCCTTGTTATCTGCATTTTCTTGAACATCATTTTTTAAAGTGATTCCTCATTTGGTTCTGTATAGAAATGTTAGGCACTGAGTTGTTTCTGTCTTCCTACAAAATGCGACTCAGCATTAAGAGGGACATGATAGATGATTTTGCACGTTTTAGAACAAAAAACTGATTACTGAGAGACTTTTATTTATATTTTTGGAAGGATGGAACATATGGTCTTAATTGCAGTGAGCGTTGTGACTGTAGCCACGCAGATGGGTGTGATCCTGTCACCGGTTACTGCTGCTGTCTTGCAGGCTGGACAGGTAAAATTAGCAATTACCTTTGTAAACCTTGGGGCTTTTGGTTTTTTGGGGCTTGGTGGGGGGGGTTGGTGGGTTGTTTTGCTTTGCTGTTGCATCAGTTATAGCACTGGACTTGTGACTACAAAGTTTTAAATAACAGATTGAGACAAGATCAGCTGAACTTACCCATATTTAAATCACTCATGATGGTGACAGTAATTGGCATTCATTAAATTTGTATTCAGATTAGTTGAAGATGGCTCCAAATCTGGAGCCAGATGTTAGCCTTCTGTAAAGAGAATCCTCAGGAGGGATGCAGATCATCTGGAAATCCTGCAGAGTTTTTCTCCTTGAATAACCCTTTCCACGGAGGTGGTATGGTGAATCCTGGGACCATCATACCTGGGGATGCAGATAGGTGTTTTCTGAATGCTAAGAGTCATTACAGCTGCTCCATCGTACAAAACCCAGTTTTGTCACAAAAAGTTACGCTTTTCCCATTTTCCCATCCTTCTTGCCACACAGAAGGATAGTTACAGAGAGCAGATTAATGCTGGTTTGACAAAGAGTTCTTGTGATTACACAGAGGCAGAGAGGAATACTCAGTGAAGTCAGAGAGTCCAGGCTGGAGATCTCAGTACAATCAGACCTTCACTTGACTCCACACTGATATGTCTCTTTGCCAGCTTTTGACAGCTAACGTAACAGCAGCGGGGAGCAAGTTATTGACCCAACCAGTATTTCACACTTAGCTGCCTAAAATACTGGTTAATCTCCCTCAGCTCTCTGTAAAGGCCCTGGAGGGAAATAAACTTATATTCTTGCCCCATAATGGCAGAACCAGCAGTGGCACTGACAATCAAAATGCGTTTATATTAACAGCAATTCATTTGTAAAATTTAATTGTTTTTCAAACAAGTACAAGTTGGAAGAATGTATGGAGAAAGGCAGGCTGATCAGGCAGCCAACATTTGGGATACTGTCACCTTACCCCTTCATTTGTGCCTTAAACCAATGCATGTCTTCTATTTCTGATGGAAAGAACATCACCACAGCAGCTCAGCTCCTAGAAGCATGAAGCAAAAGGAATGAAATTATACCTAGAACATACAATGGAAAAGATCTTGTAAGAATTAAATAAAATGCAAAAATAGGAAGTTCTATGTGCTGCTAACAACAAAGCTACTTTTCAAAGATACTGGGCATGCATCCCTGAAAAGGGCATTTTTCCCACAAGAAAATCCATTTTACAAGCTTGCTAATATCCCCTCCTCCAGCTTGCATTCTGTGCTCATTGGACTGCGTTCATCTTTCTTTGAGCCTCTTTACCGTCAATATATCCATCTATCAGGCTTTAAAACTCCACTGTGCATTATTGATGATCATCAGAGAAACAGTTGGTAGGCTTTCCTGTAGTCATTGTGAGTTTCTTCAAGGGAGAAAATGGTTTTTAAAAGTACAGTAAATTAAAGAGATATATTTATGGACACTTACTCTAAAAGTTTATTACACATCTTTCTGAATATAGCATTCCAGAGGAAACTGCAGAAAATGTATTTTGCAGACAATGCAGACTAAAAGTGTGGCTTTTCCTCAAAGGCATTTGCAACAAATACTTTATACTTACTCCCATGCACATCTGTAAATGTACATCAAATGCAGATACAAATTAGTCCAAGTAAAGGTAAGAATAATGGCTGTGATATCCTCCTTTTTTAATTTCCATATTGGGCAAGATAAATGTGTATTAACTTGCAGGGGACTTACTGCCAACTAAGCACTTTATCCTACAATGTACCCCTGCAGTTCTGGAACTCCCTTTTTCAAGATCACATTTCAGGAAGGAAAATATTACATTAGTATTCGAGACCAGGTTGGAGTTGAGATGTTGACAGGGCCATGTAAGGTGTGCACTGGAAATGTTGATAGACAGAGCCAACATATGTTTTGTTGATTCTACTTCCAATATTTTTTTCCACTTGGCTTATCACCAGACACAAGGATAAATTCTGCTCATACTAGTTTGAAAGTATGTAATTTAAGAAACTCTTCAGCTAGATAATTATATTTTCATATTAAGGAGTATGGCATCGGTGAAAGATTAATCTTATCTGTAGTTGTTGTGAACTGGGCCATGATGTGTATTGCAGTGCATTTAATAAATATGACGTGATAAATAATTCAGGCCTAAATTTTTACTTTCTGAATTTGGTACTAATTACGCATGGCCTGAAAAGATCAGAAAAGTTCAGGATCGTGGAACATCTGAAGGTTTTCCTGCCCACTCATACCAGACAGAGAATTCACGTGGCTTTCTGATCCTAATAGCCACAAAACTTCATCTGAAACAGCATATTCTGTATGTTCATCCCACATGTGGGACTCCCTCTTGATGTCAGTGTTTTATGTAAAGATCAAGGGGAAGATTGAACCCATTTTCTTTAAAGTGGTTTTCAAGATGTTACTGCTACAAACCTTCAGAGACTGATAGATGGTAGGAGCATGGAGGAAGACTGGGAAAAGAAGAAAAAAGGCATGTAAAGAGTAGCGTACAATGTAAGTTAATAGCAGCCTAACATCCTTTTATTATGTTATGACTGCCACCCATCAAGACTATTATTCAGGACAATGGCCTTCCGTGTGTACCAGCTGGGGGAAGGTAATTTTAAGGAGCTGAGTGTACTTGGCAGATGGGAAGATGATGAAGAGATTCCCACATATCAACCAGGAGATCACAAAGCTGTGCAAACCAGCTGTATGCATAAATAAGCACACTGGCAACAAGCTGCTTAGAGACGTGCATATACAGTTTCCATTAAGTTCAGTGGGGAATTGCACGTGTGCAGCCAAAGGCAGAAGTTAGATCAGATCTAAAGATGATTGCGCCCTGTCGTTATTGCTGAAAATTACCCAACCAGGTACACAGGCATGTTGTATCACAGATGGCTTTGTAGATAGCATGGCAAGCATAACATTGGTACATGAGAGACCAAAGCCACATTGGCAAAAGGCTCTCATGTGATATGAGCAAAGTGAAACTTGTTCAAATGTGGGCCAAAATCCGATCTGTGACCTGCTGTCACAATGCAGAGGTGAACTTTCCTCCACACGAAGGAAATGTCAGATGCAATAACAATAAGGGCTCAGCCTTATGCTGAATGGAGTTCTCCAGCTTGCACCAGTACTGCATATGCATAACCTCACGTATATAAATAGTACCCTTGAAATCAAAAGACGACATGTTCATGTCTATTGCTAGGTTAAAAAGGAAAAGTGTAGCCCCCAGCAGGATCAAGTCTTGACTGATTAGACTGATTAGACTTTTCTAAAGATTAATAAGGGTCTCTCTTACTCCAGTTCTGCCATGCATTTTAGATATGTATCAATTCTGTGCTTGCAGCTCTGTGCCTGTGTGTATGTGTGCTCACAGATACCTTAAAGCTCCCAACATACTAGTCATTTGTGGAAGAGGTGTTATTTTGTGTACATTCAGGTTAAAATGAAAATGCTTGAAAATGGAGTGCTTTGGTGCTAATTGCATTTGGTTAATTAGGGATCTCGCGCACACACTGAATCCGCAGGGAGAACAGAAGTGCAGAAAAGCTGCATGGTGGAGCATTTTTTGGAAGTCCTTTGCAAGCAAACAGGTCCTAGAGAAGCAGGTAGCAGTCTCATCTTGCCCAGATGCAACCTCCTCTCCGGGGTGCTCTGCGACAGACAGTGATAAGGTCATAAATTTCAGTTAGGCAACTCTTAATAAATAACCTGAAACTGGACAGAAAAGGACGGGCTGCCCCGGTAGCCTTGCTGGGTGGGTCAGAAGCTAGGGAGAACATGGGGAGGCAACGTTCCTCTGTTAGGTGTAATGTTGCGCGGCTCTGGAAATTACAGCTGCAGCTAAGCCATATGGGTTTTGCAAGCTGAACTGCAAACCCCATCAGCTTGGTCCTCTCTCCTCAGGGTGGCTGCTGGCAGCACGTTTTGTACCAGAAATGGCTTCCTTACAGATACTGACTGGTTATGACCACATAGCCTTTAGCTGGTTCACTCGGTACAACCCTCAATAATTAAATTGGTCATAGCTGCTGGCCTGTCCTCTCATTTCTGGAGGTGCGCCCTTTGTGCTTGACCTGAGCTAGGTTAGCTGGACTCTCTGGGAAGCCAGATGCAGCCATTGCTCATCCTGTCTCTAAGACCCGAATCTGTCTGTTTTCACAGTCGGACATCCCGCTCACAAACAGATTAGAGAAAGGAAAGCCACAGGCCTGGCTGATATTCACAGCAAGCTCATTTCGTCCCTGTAACAAGTCAATGTGCTTCAAGTTAATTGTGGCAGTGTGTATTTTGTTAACCTTTCAGATATTACAGTGGGATTAAATAGGAAGTGATCTGCAGGGGGACATATTCCATTCCTGTAAATGTTAAGGTCAGTTAAAATCCTGTTTATCTGAATTCCTTTAATCTGAAATGCTGTCTCATCCGAATCTTGATTCTGTCTTTCTTTTCTTTTGTATTGTGCTCTGGTTTTTATAGAACGCTGCAGTCGCGATGCTATCTCAATTATCCACTGAACTAGTTTGCTCAGTAGCTTTTCTGAATATCTGAAGCTGAAGTTTAATCGGTAGATTTTAACATGCCCAAAATGTGTGGGGAAAATAGGATGGTACTGTAGATGTAAAATGGAAAATATACAAGTGTGCATCCCATAGTTAATTATAAAAGAACCCCTCATAGATTTTCCTTAATTAATCAGGGTGGCAAATACAGTTATGAAAATGATATATGCTGGTAAGGAAGAGACATCTTCTTATTGCGTTGGTACTTTTCTCCTTCAGGCTTCATTCATGTCTCATAAGAGCAGCCTCCCTCTTTGCTGTTACATACAGGAAATCAAAATATATATTTCACCGTCCTTTACAACCTCAATAACTTTCATACGTTGCCAGCAACATAAACCCTAATTGTCTCTTATCATGCCCAGAAATATTGTACAGTAGTTGTGGTACTCTCGAGTTGTAGGG